AATATGACCAAGTTGCGAAAACAAGGTCAAACAATTTCTATACAACAGAAGGAGACTGCGACCACAAAAACGGGCTACACCATCTTGATCTTCATATCTTCGAATAATTGTTTCAGCTTATCTCACTTTTTAGACGAATTAATTTTTAAACATCCGTTATTTATCTATAGTTTTTCGTTTTCAGTATATCTCTTGTAGAGCATGCTTTGTCTCAATTTTGCGCTTTTGTAATAGCGTGTTCTGGCTCTGACGATAACTGTTGAGCTTACTTGCATTTCGAGTGAATGTGTTGGGTGAAGATATTCGAAGTTCCATTCCACCAGAAGACGACGGATTCCTCTTGACCAGCTGCCGATTGGCTTTACTGGAAGATTCATACTGACGTTGTTTCCAAGCTAATCTTCTTCGATTCCACTGAAAAGAGGCTAACCTTTCGCCCGTAATATGAGGAACATCATCAGAGCAAGGTATCATCGTCACAAAAAATTCAAGAAAACTCACCGGCAAATCGACAGCTGGTCAAGAGGAAGCCGCCGTCGTCTTCTGGTGGAACCTACCTTCGAATCTCTTCACTCAACACTTTCACTCGAAATAGAAGTAAGCTCAAGAATTATGAAACAAGAGATTCCTCGAAACTTAACTTTTCTTCGCATATCTGACGATAACGCTCAACAGGTCTTTTCACGCGAAACAAAACAGCAAATGACTTGAGGACTGTCAATCTAAAGGTTACAATTGAATAAGACTTTCATAAGAATCAAAAGTCACCCCGAGCATGCTGTTAAACGATTCATTCCGACCTATTTATTCTTAGTATCCTAAAATGAAGTTACTGCACTTAATTACCGTTACATCTTCTATAAGTATGAGCACGAACACACAAGCACACATACAACTACTTCGCAGCAAATCAATCACTCTTTTTTTCTGGTATTACGCAATCGGATTAGAAACGTAGATTTACTTGATTGATTTCATTTTCCTATTCAAACATAAATCCCTCTCCTACATACACACATATACAAAAAGAAACTTACAGCTAGGCTGGCACTTGATACGAACTGTCGAAAACTGTCGAAAACACACATTCATACGATTGGACCATGCGTATACAGTTTGTAGACGTAAACCGATGAATTAACTTGAGTTTAGCTTTAATTAGTTTCCATGAGTGAGTAGGTTCTCTAGACTACCAGTAAATCAGATACATGAGTTGTGTTCATCCTATTTCGTTTAAGGTGATGAAGGACTGGCAGTTGAACTTTCCCCCAATCATTAGAGCTGAGCTAATATTTTCCATTAAATTTCATATGGCCCTGCTTTCCCAAAACGTGATCTTATTCAGACTGGACTGTAGTTTCGACCTCACTTAGGTCGAACACCCCAAGCGGCAGTTGAACTGTAACAGTGCAGCTTTTAAACTCGACACGTTGACCACTACGCCACATTACTACGAGTGCCCTTGGGCCGCAGGGCAGATGGGAATTTCAAGGAATGTCAGGCATTTTCCATGACACATTCTGTGTTAAGATTGTCGATTAAGCAAACTTATATTTGCTATAGCAGTCGATGACCACTTTTTTCGTTAGTGAGTTGGTTTCCGAGAACGCCTTTTGATAAAGCAAGGCTATGTAAATTAAATGGAAAAAATCAGCTCTCTTCATATGATTGTGGAAAAATTCAACTACCAGTCCTTCCTCGCCTTAAACAATATAGGGTGAACACCACTCATTTAGCACACATTATTTGCAACAATGGTGCCCAGTTGTGATGATCATTTTTTTAGGCGACGTGATAAACTAAAGATGAGCATGAATTCATCAGAACCAAGGGAAATGGCCTCAAGACAAGCGAAGATCCGCCCTTTTTTGTCACCTGGTGACGGCGTTAAGGAGACCCTTACAATCGCTGTCCATCGACTACTCCTGCAACACAATTGTCAAGAATGTCGGCAATAGCAACGGGCCAAGCTGGTCAAAAATCACTTGGTACAGGCTTTTTCTGTCTCTCTGACTTATCTGTCACTCCGTTATATCCACTTTGCACAAGTCCAATTTCACCACATTGCTAGCTTATGTATGTTTATGAGTTGATGTGTGTATGGAAGCATAGTGCAAGAGTAGAGAAGTAAAATTTGTCGAGACGATCAGAAAGGCCAATTAAACTTACGCGGTTTGCTTGTGCCCTGTTCCGTACGAAGACCAGAGTCGAAGGCTGTTAAGGCGGTCTAAGCTGAGTCCTGCTTAAATAGGTCCTGGGAAAAGCTTCACAATAGCCGTCCAAGTGGCGTAACTGGTGCACACACGCACGCACATACACATATACAAGTGAACAGGTCGGCTAGGTGATAAATCCGGGGTTTATCCAATACAGACTTCTTCCGCGAGTGGTTTGAGGTTAGAGGACGGACTCATCACCGTCCGACGGGGTTCGATCTCACGATATAAATGGGTCGTTTGACTGGCACATTGATTTGCGGCTGGTTAGTAACCGAGAGAGCCGTGATGCCTGTTCGTGATTACCTTTTTTGCAGACTTCAAACTCTCAGACCGAGCTGGGCCTTTGGTTTTCCAGGTGTCTTCTGGTAAACTTGTCAGGCAGATAAGCCAAATTACATGCCTTTTGCCCTCCACACCCTCGGTCGGGCAAGACGAGCCAGAGATTGAGAGGATGCAAAGTGGGCAGGTAGAGCTGCGGATGAGGCCGCGGGGGGCGCCCCGGCTACGGTGACCGCGACAGCGAGGCTGATGGCAACACGACAGCGATGATGGACACGATTGCGGTGGCGGTGGGAGTAGCAGTGGCGGTGGAGGACGGAAAAATCTCGGACCAAATATTAAGAAGACGATTGAAGCAAAGCAGCGCGCCAGAAGACGGCTGTCAGTGGGCCCGGAAAATCGTGTAACTTGTCAAATAAAATAAAAATTCTAGACGCATACAGATTTTCGCCGATCCTCTTAAACTGGTGGTTATCAGCCTCCTTCTGACCAGTCCAGAGTGCACACCGGCCGAGGCTCGACGCTTGTTCGCTCGTTCGTTGGTTCGCTCGTTCGCTCGTTGGCTCTCTCGCTAACTAGCCCGAGCCGGCCCGGACAAGGAGACAAAGAGGCGGCGCCGCGGAAACGAAGGGGACAT